ATGTGAGGCATTATTTTTGGTCACGCAGTAATCTGAGAAAGGAGGGCGGGAAAAACCTCAAATGGCAAATTGATGGACATCTGTTGGCTTATTTTAGTTATTTATTTTTGCAGTGGCCGAGGTCAGCTTGATGGGGCTGATAACAAGCAAATGAGATTAGGGGGAAGGTGTTGGTCCAGGCCATGTGACAGACCTCTCCCTGTCTGTCTGCCTGTCTGTCCACTCGGCCTGTCTCGCAGCAGAGCCAGATTTTTTTTTAAACGTTCCTCCTTCCATGTTGGGGGTGTTTGCAGGAGTAGTTTGGTGGTGAATGGGTGGGTGGGTTGAGCGGTGAATACCATGCTGTTCTCTGACAGAGCAGGCCTATGCTCTCATTGGCAGCTTGTGACTGCAGCACACATACACGGTGTACTGCATTGCATAGCTGGGTGAATCTTGCGCATGAATTCAACTATTGTGTTGCAAGGAAACCGTTTCTCTCAGAACACCCGGTTACTATTTATATCAATATTATACAATGGTCTGCTGAAGCTCATGGGGCTGTGCTCAGATCTGACCTCTAGGGCCCCGAGGTGCTCTTTTAATTTGGCACCCCATGACCCCGTAGCCCCATGAGCCACCGGTCATGTCTGTTTCAAAACAAGAAAAAGAATCCTTGATTGTCAGTCCAGTTGTTTGAAAGTAATTAATAATTAAGCAACAATGACCCAGAGGCAGCGGATTACAGCGCAATATTGTTGCAGGTGTGTGCCAGCATAGCAAGATAATCCTATGCCTTTCAGTACTTATTGCTTCAATGAACCTGTTTGCAGCATCTGTGAGTTCAACTGAGAGATGTGCTTTGTATCCAAATAAACTGCCTTTCCAGTTCACTACTTAATCTGTGATTTCTGAGGTTATCTAGGTTGGAAAAAATGTGTTTGGATGGACGGGTATTTGTATAGTGCTTTTCTAGTCTTGCTGACCGCTCAAAGCGCTTTTTATACTACAAGCCACATTCACCCATTTATGAAACATTTTCACTTTAAACACTTGCATGCTAATAGCTACACGTGGGGGCAATTTGTAGTCCAGTATTTAGAGTATGCTAAGGACAAGCAGCCTGAGAACTGACCTCTGCTCTCCTGAGCAATAGCTTTCTTTATTAGGTCAGCTGTAAAGCTGTTTGTCCTTAAATGCATAGTAAATATGATTTATTAACCGTTAAAGTGAAGGTTAATTGTCAGTAAAAAGTCAGAATGTCATGAAGAATTGCAATTTTTGGGGTCAATGTTGTGACTTTGAGGTCAAACTAATGATTCAAATGAAAACAATGCAACAGTTTTCACCCGAGAGAAAATTTAGTGGAAAACCGTAAAAGGCCTACTTTGTGGCGTTTTCCAAAAGTGCAAGTGATTGCCCACCATGGGCAAATTACAGGTGCGGCAGACACAGAGGAAAATGAACGTTTACACCGGTTTTAGGTCACCGTTCGCTTCCAACACAGACATTTGTTAAGTTTGGTCGTCGTTTTTCTGCTGGGTGTTGAGTTCTAGCTTGGCTGACATTGTTTTCTGCGGTTGCAAACTGTGAGGGGGGATGAGAGGTGCGAAGATTAGAACTGTAGAGTCCACCTAATAAAAATAAATCTGTTACTTCTGTTTCTGATATGAATGTAGGTTTGCTGTAACTGATCATTATCAAAGTTATCAGCCAAAGACAGTGTAGCAAGTATAAGTAGACTTTTGGTTCCTGTTGCTGCAGCATTTTGTAGTCATGCGATATGAGAAAATGCCTTTACAACAATGTTGTTGTGAAACACTTTGAGAGAGCGCCGTATTCTCTATTGGTCGTCAAACAGGCCTGTTCTGAACTACCTGTTCTGTTTATTTATAGAGAGCCCTTAATGATCTTCAACAAAACACTGAGTACACTGCATTGAAGAGCCCTAGATTTTTGTTTTCTGGGCCGTATTGGAACACTTTAGTGGCAGGGGCAGCAAGTTCCATGATCCAATCAAGAGCAGTTGGTGCTTGTCAGCTGCAGTGGAGAGGCTCAACAAATTACATTAAACAATAAAGGGGAAAACAGATTTGAAACAGTATGGTAATATCAGTGGAGTGCGGGAATGTTGAACATAAAGTCTCGTTGATGGGGTAATTTTTGTGAAAAATAGTCATATTTAAGTAGGTTTTATATCAAATAAATTTCATGGCATGCCATATTTTACAGTACATTTGTTACTTTACTTTATCCCAACTTTATTTCTTCCAAAGTTCAAGAGGGAACTGCTCACTTCTTTCTCTGTCTCGCTCTCGTTGTCCCTCTCCATCTCTGTCCTCTCTGCCGTCCCCCTGCCTCTGCCTGGACTGTGGAAGCAATGCAATTAGACAAACACAAACAGAGCTCTTGAAGCTGGAAAGTGCTGACTGTCCACTGTCCGCAGTGTTGGACAGGGGCGGCGTTTAAAAACATTATTTTCTTCGTGGCACGTGATTCTTCCTTCAGCATCGTCTATGGCAGCCCAGAAACAGTCGAAAGCAAAAAAGAGAGAAAAAAAGCCACACAAACGAACATTCACACTTGTGAACTAATAAACTCTGTACTTTATTTCATCAAATGGACTTCCTGGCATTGGAATGGAGTTCACGTCGCGCCTTTGTTTGATTGGCTCTGCTACTTTGGGTTTAATCCTGCTGGTTTGGGGAGTGTTTGAGTTGGATTACTCCATCGTTGGGCTGGGGTACTGTTTCTCTGGCTTTGACAAGATGGTGTGTGGTGGTCATTGTTGTTGCGTTTGGTACTTTGTTTTTTTGTTTTTTTTTTGGGGGGGGGGGTGTCTGTGTGTGTGTGTCTCTGTGTGTGTGTGTGTGTGTGTGTGTGTGTGTGTGTGTTCTTCCTCACTACCGAATCAGCTGAAACCACAGACAGCCCAACTGGAGCGCCGTCCAAATCCCTCTGCATGCAAATTAAAAACGCAACAATAAACGTGGCAAAGGAACAAGGTGGGCACGCAGGCTTTATGGCCCCCTCTCCCCCACCTTTCTCTCTCTCCTTCCCTCCCTTTATGTCTCTCTCTCTCTCCCTCTCTTTCTCCCCCTCTCGCCTTCCTCCAAAACCCCTCCTGGGTTTGATGTGGCTTATGGGAGGAGTTGGAACAGGGGACAACCAAACTGCTGAGTTATCTCTTGCATGCAGTGTGGCGGCGTGGCTCTGCCCTCTGTGTGTGTGCATGTGTGTCTGCGTGCAGACCAGCAGCACGGTGTAATCCTGTGGAAATGAAAGGTGCTGCCGCGCACTGGCCGGGAGATTACAGCGCCGCTCTGTCGCGCTGCCAGGACAGACTACCCGGCTGAGAGAGCGGCCCTCTGTAACACACACACTCACACACCTCGCTGTCTGTCTTTGACGCCGCGTTTCCTCCTCGCTGCTTTTTGCTCCGCGGCCATCCCTCCTTCTTCATCCTCTCTTGTTCCTTTACAGCTCTCTTCTAGCTTCACTACAATTTCATGCCCACATCACTGCAGGCCCCCCCACTTCGTTACCCTTCTCTCTCTCCCACGCAGCTCTTCAGTGCGTTATTTCCTTTCACTCTTACTCACACACTCACACACTGGCCTGCTGAGGTTTAGGTCATCACGTCTGACCACGTCACTCAGCCCCTGTAGAGCCCTTCTGTCTGTGCAGTCCTCAGTCTTTCACTCGGCTCCATGAGCAAACATAAACACACATTTAGCAACTGTGACCGTGAGGCGTTTCTGTTTGTAAAGAAATGAAAGGGAAGTGAGATTAGTAGTTAGAATCGAGTAACACCGATGTTACCAACACTTTAAATAATAGTTTGACCAAGCAACAGTTCTGATCATTTTCTATTTTTATTGTGTTCTCCCTTTATACTGGGGAAGCAACCATTTTAAATTTTTCATATTTTGAAAACAAAACGTAGCCTGACTTTGCTAAGTCTTCATGTTTTTGCTGATTACGTGGATGTCAGTCGACATCAGCAAAATCTGATGGTACCAATAATTAAGCTGACATGTTGGTGCATCGCTACCTGCAGCTGTTTTTATGAGCAATAATTTTGCCCCCTGATTTCTTGGTCATTTCAATTTATCATTAGATTCGTATGTGTATTGCATCTTGATCTTCAAACATCCAATGAACACATGAACTCGAACATCTTGATTATTTTAGCAACTGATTAGTTCCCTATTTAAACAACCAAAATTTAATATAACAAAGAATAAAATATCAAAGCAGTATGACCAAATGATGCGATGTCTCTAAAAGGAGACCAACTTTTATCATGCGTGTTCAAGTCATGTTGTCAAATACATGAACAACTACGAGTGAAATACGTGTGTGTGTGTGTGTGGGGGGGGGGGGGTTTCTGCCTTCCCCGCTGCACTTTGAGTGTTAGCGCTTCCTGTGTCGGGCTCTCGCTGAATCTTTTAATCACCAAGGTCAGACCTCTTTGTGCATTGTATTAATCAAATAAAGCCTTTTCTTAGTGCACTTGTCTTATGCTGTTCCTCAGCTCTGTCTTTCATGGCCCTCTGCTGGAGCATTTTAAACATGGGAGTCACTCACTTCCTCCCAAGGGTGCTACTCAATATGCCAGTATGTCTTTCTTGTCATATTAAAATGTTCCCTCCTGCTGTGCTGCTTGACCTTGTCTACCTTACGTCTTCATCTTCAGCTGTGTAACCCAAAAAAGCCCCAATGGTGCATTTTATGAGTGGTTTTCGTTTTATTTTGTTCATTTTAGTGAAAAAATGTGTTAATTATTTTGAAATGGTGTCACAGTGGCTTTTTCTTCCTCAGAGTACTTTGATGCTTCCGATAGAAGCAGCTCTGTTTTAAGGTTTCGTAGTCTGGTTGATTGTTTGGCCTTTTTAGGGCTGCAACTGTGCTTAAACATTTTGGACATCACGGTCCGAATTGCAGTACATTCTATTCTTACTGATTTGTATCCTTTTTCTCCTTCCTTCTCCCTCCTTCCTTTCAAATGTTTTGTCCAGGGCTGGCTCTGTGAGCTGCTGCGCTGGAAAGAGGATCCGTCTCCAGAGAACCGAACACTCTGGGAGAACCTCTCCATGATCCGACGCTTCCTGAGCCTCTCTCAGGCCGAACGTGATGCCATCTACGAGCAGGAGAGCAGCGCCGGCCAGCAGCACCACAACGAGCGGCCGTCGCACTTGATGCACATTTCCAGTGACCAGCTACAGGTGAGTGTGATATTTTTCACAAGATTATGACCTGAGCCAGTGCCTTTGGGCAAGGCATCGAGCTAAAACTACAACAGATGTGTTCCAGAACATGAATATTGAATCACAGCAATATGTTTCTGGGGCTGAATCCACTGGTTGGCTGTGGCTGATCACATGTTGGGTTAACTGCTTATTCTAAACTGCCCTTAGGTGTGGATGTCAAAGTAAAATATAAGGTGCTCCCCTCCCCCAGCTGTTAAAAAAATGGATAGATGGATCACTAATTGCTAAATCAAAGCAATTTGATTATTTGTGCTTGTGATTTGGATCTCTTTTTGGTACAATTTCTTATGAAAAGTAGTTTAAAGATATTATGTAACAGTGGAGAGAATCATTTTTAAAAATCCTAATGAAGTCTGATTATTGTATCTGTGCATATCCTGTTTTCCAAAGGTCTGTGTCGAAAATAATTTAGTTTAAAAAAAAAGGGAAACCTTAATTTTCCCCATTTGACTTCTTCTTTCAGTAATTCTAACCCTAACAGCACTCAGGAGTTTCTGCGAACACATAAATTAACAACACTGCAACACTTAAAAGTTGCTACTTTTTAAGCAAAAACCGTTTTCAAAGATATCATTAGGCTGAACTTGCTTAACAGAGCTGCTTTATAAGAGACATCTGGCAGATGAATAGAAAATAACACACAGGCTCGGTTAACGGTCGAAACATCTTAATGAAGTACAATAATACTTCTATTAAAAGTCTGAGCCACAGCAGAGTGGTTGATTAGTTATTTGGTTACTTGGATACAATGGCAGCGTTTCACAAAGACTGTCATTTAGTGGATATAAATAAGGTAATAGGATTTCTTTGACAAATCAGTTTGAGCAGCAGATATGGAATGAGGGAATTTTGTGCATACTTTGCATGCAAATGCAAAACGGTTGCAGATTGATAAAATAGGATTATTTCTGATTTAATGGTGCAGTTTTACAGTGTCCATAAGAGACTGGTGTTTAACTATTTTGTGCTGCTCTTTTACTAACGTGATACATTAGCCAAATTAGCTCACATTTGCTCAACAAGAACTAGCCCGGCTCAGTATATGGGTACAGTAAAAATCACATCTTTGGGTGCATTTATGCAGCTGGCAAGCAGAGTCCCTGCAAAGTGCTGTTTTGCAAACTTCATTATGAAACACCTATCTACAGTGTCTGACTCAGAAATGAAAATAAAAGAGCGCCCATTTTGCAGGGTCAATAGAGACCACGAGTTGCCCACTCACTCGCTCTCCAACCACACAATGAGACATTTTACGAGTAATGTGTCATGTGTTTACACTAACGGGACTCTGACGGCAGAGCGAAAGCCATCGATAGCATTCTCACACGGCGACAAATCAGCCAGACCATCGCGATGTGAATTGTACACAGGGAGCTTGTTTATCACTGCCGGGCAATAGAGGCCGATAAGCAGCACAGGATATAATAGAGAGGCCAGTTTGCCTGTGAATTCCCAGTGTGCGTGGAGCCGATCGTGTCACTCATGTGTACGAGTGTATATGCTGGTGTGGGGCTGTTGCCTCCTCTACCTCCACAATGAGACTCAAGCTCCCACTACCAAAAAAGGAAAAACATCATATCTGCAGAACTGATTGCATTCAATCAGATATTGCATGGAAAATTCCTTCAACCAAGTGCCTGTTCTATACACAGCAGGCCCATTTTTCCTCACAACTCAATTGATTTTAATGAAAGGCCTTATTAAGGCGCCGATAAGTGTTCACTGATAACATCCCCATCTCCTTTCTCTTCCCTCTTTCTTTTTTTTCCCTCATTGCAGGCTCAGCCGCCTCAGACACAGCAGCAGCACCAGCCCTCCTTGTCCCTCCACCCCTCCCAACAGCCCTTGCAGCAACAGCAGCCCACCACCGGTCCCCGGTTGCCACCTCGCCAACCCTCCACCGCCTCTCCGGCCGAAACGGAGGACGAAGGCAGCCGCGGAGGGAGCATCAAATCCCGCACGGGTGGAGGCAAGATCTCCCTGGAAGCTCTAGGTATCCTGCAGAGCTTCATCCAGGACGTGGGCCTATACCCCGACGAGGAGGCCATCCACACCCTTTCAGCCCAGCTGGACCTGCCCAAGCTCACCATCATCAAGTTCTTCCAGAACCAGCGCTTTTATGTCAGTCACCCAGCAAAGGCACCCAAGGAGCCCATTAACAACAACAACAACAACACCACCATTGCAGCCATCGTCAACAACACCACCAGCAGCAGTAGCAGCAGCAGCAGCCCGGCCTTTGAGGAAGAGCTGACGGACTTCAGGGAGAGCGGAGAGCTGTTGAAGGAGCTGGACGAGAGCACGCAGACCAACAGCACCATCTTCTCCATCAAGATCGAAGAGCAGCTGGGCCGAGGTGCCGAAGCCCAGTCCGAGTCGGAGCACGAGGCCAAGGAGTAGGACTCTCCCTCTGAAACATGTACTGAGAGTTTTCCTGTGCACACAGACTGGTGACTGTGCTAAATGTAACGCTCTGGCCGCCACAGAAACACCACACTGCAAACAAAGAAAAGTAGTGTTTTCAATCAGTACAGCATCTGGACTGTATGAGGAGTGTTCATATATATATATATATATATATATACACACACACACACACACACACACACACACACACACACATATGAACTCACAGTGCGAAATGAGTGTTCACACACTGGAAAGCCCATTTCAGACTCAGTAATACAAAAAGTACTACTTTTTCGATTTTGTAAAACTTGTATTATTCACTGTAAAGACTGATGCATCGTTTAAATAATCTGCACAAAAAAATTATTAAGTATGTTGCCGTGGATATTTGCTGACTGCACTCTATGTCTGTTGTTTTACACTGACTTACTTTATCTTTTTGAGCTACTGATTATATTGAAAAAGGAAAAAAAAGTTCCCCTGGAGTTTGCTAGGACTTCGATAGGTGTTTACGTATGTGATGTTTAACTGGATTTTTTTTTTTTTTTTAAGAAAATAGCAAATGAAATCAAGGACCATGTGGATGACAAGGCCTTAATTATGAGGTATCAAGTCTGGAGCCTGCTGGCAGATTAGTTATTCTTTTTAAAAAGCGCATAATGTGATTATGGATCACTCCAAACTCTGGAACGCGATCACCCAGCCCAGGTGCATCTACGAGAATAGCTCAGTCTCTTTACATATTATTTGTTAGGGAAGAAATATAAATATATATATATATAGACATTATATTGTAACTGTAAAAAAAATACAGTCTTAAAAAACTATGCCAACAAATGCCTTGTACTATACGGCACTGCCGATGTTAGATTATTTTGCAAAACCTTTGTCACTGTAACTTTCTGAATTGCCACACAGTTGGAAATGTGAATTTCACAATGTTTATGTTGTCTGACATTATTTATTTGCAGTTCATGCAGTGTTTCTGATGTAATTACTTTTTCTAAAAAAAAACCTAAAAAAACAGTTTATGTTTCCTTGTGCGCGCTCTCTCTCTTTTTTTTATTCCACCGATCTTGTTTCTATTTATAAATGTAATTTCAGTGGGCAGTAAAAACAAGAAGTGTCTTAAACGTTTTAAATGGAGAAATGTGCTTTAAAGGTTGCCTATAAAAAGTGCTGTATGTCAAGCAACTCATGCTACAAGCTTCACAATTAATGTTGTATGCAATTTTTACTATCATGCAAATAAGCTTAGGTAAAATGACTAACCTATAGAACACCTTAGAAAGAAAAACATATGCAATCTGTGTGAAAATCGATGTCTGCGATGTGTCTTCCTTTGGTTAAGAATCCAATTCAAAAAGCTACTCCTGTATAAATATTCTGTAAAAAAGTGTTTCTTTTTTATGAGTTCATTTCAATGAGAACACCAGTTATTTTGTTACGACTGACTGTTTTATAAGTGTTTCTCGGTTCCTTTCGGCAGAAATGTTCTAACTAGAAGTGGTTATTGATTGTTAATTACACAATTAAACTGTTTGTATTGTACCACAGATTTCTTGGCATTAACTTGACCAGGCTCTTTTGACACCAGAGGCGTGTTTGTCTCCTCTGGAAACAGGAGAGGAAACAATGTGAAATGGTTGTTGTTGTTTTTTTTGGTTTTTCTTGGTTTTCTTTTTGCTTTTTTCTTTCAAGTTCTGCTAAGAAAGATCAACTCCAGTTACTGACTCATTCCGCTGCGATCACTGAACCCATGTCACTTGTAATATCTGTAAATATCACATCTTATGAATCATTAATTGTTTAATATTGTAAATATATTTGAAGTTTGTGCAAAAGCTCACCGTACAAAGCTGAATCGCCATTCTGTCGTGCCTCTTCCTCCCAAACCGACTGTACCGGGGCTCTTCTGCTGCATCTCCACTTCTACATGCTGAGTGTATGTGAACCACCTTTGAAATCTAAAATAAATAAATGTTAGGTGTGAACACCTGTAATAGCAAAGCCCTCTGCAGGAAGTTCGGCTATAAAACAGCGCAGGTGTCCTGACCTTGCCGTAAACCCCAGGCGGGGCCAGGTGTCTACACCTTTAGGAAATTACCCCCACCCGTTCACACCCTGAGATATGTGGCAGCCTGTCTGGGCCAGCGTTCCCTTTGTGTTGTGCTGTTTTTATCCCATAAATATAGAAAGAAATCCACAGTGCAATGTTGTGTACGTTCACGGGAAAAGAACAATCAAACGAAACAGACATATAGAAGTGTCAGATGCTCTCAAGAGGACATCCTTTTGTCAGAGGTGATCAGAGGGTACACGATACGTGTTAAGAGGTGATAAAAAAACATTACCGCATGTCACAGAGCAAAGAGGCGCCATTATGCTTCATTATTTCTCCATTTTGACATTACAAATGGCTTACTCACTGACAAACAGAGGTGAAGGCACCAACAAACAGGAACTCTAGCGTAATACTCCTCCTCATTATCACTGTTTTCATAAGGATCAGCTATATTTGCCGCACGCTTACAAAAGGTTTTTCTACACAGATGGCTAATACTTTGCTCTAACAGTGGTTCAAGACTTGATTTCTGATGTTTTCTGGAAAAGTTCAGCTATAAAGTGAAATATCCTACAGAGGGGTTATCCGGTGTTCTCCAGCAGCTGTAAAAAAAAGTCTTCGGCAAACATGGTGTTATTTCAGGGGATCGTGAGATGAGGAGGTTTGCCATGACAAGAAAGAGCCAGTTCTGTTTCACCATGGGTGGGTATCATGGGTGATTGCTCAGAGAAGACTGGCAAGCACCGAACAGGTTTGATACTCCATCTCCATTAGGCTGTTCGCTGGCTCTCCACGGCACCAAACACACTTCAAAGACTTTCCCTGATGTCAAAATAGAAATCATAATTACGACAAGAATGGTGACTGATGAATCACTGACTCCGTTACCCCCGGGCGCCTCATGCTGTTGCTTATTTAGAAAAAAATTAGCAGGCTACACAAATTTACCAGAAAGCATGTAGATGATGCCACATCATACTGTGGTATGCCGCCGTTGGAGAAAGAAGCCCAGCAGATACAGTGTCTTCTTGTGATATTTGTAGAAATCCTCAGCGTCAGAGCAAATAAACAGCTTCCACATAAAGACGTGGCTGGCAGACGGTGGGCTGGAGAGGCTGAGGTCAAAATGCCAAACAAAGTTTATTTTTAACTAAATTCACAGGTATGTATATTTGGATGTCACAGGAGGTATCCAACTTTAAGCGGAGATATCATGTCACATATAAAGTGATATTTTACCTGCAGGTCATAGGAGCTTAATGGAGTTGGTGTAGAGCTTTGCCTTACATTTACACAGGCCAGGCATGGAAGTTCAGCAATAATGCAACATACACAAAAAAGTCTGTTTTTTAATTGCGTGTCAGTTTTATATTCATAAATATATGATATATATATATTTTTTATTACATATATTTTTGACTGACAACTATTCATCTCAATTAGGTTTAGTACTTTATGTTGAAATTATGTTATCCAGAATGAATGGAAGATGCACATACACTTTTAATATTTGGTCCAAATGTGTTTTAATATATACAAAAGCCTGTGATGTAACAAAAAAAAGGACATTGTCAAAGTTGATAAAGATTTTTAAAAAGCTGCACTTAATATTCTTTACAAATGTGTCATCTTAATGTAGTATCTTCTTTTTAGCATGTTTTCAGAGTTAAATTATTTTCTGTCTGATAACTAAATATGTCAGTGCTGTAAAAAGTACCTTCTGTGCTCCGTCAAAGAGAAGCTCCTGAGTGAGGCCTTTAATTCCAACTGCCAACATGTCAGATTGTCGTGCTGGACGGCTTCCAGGGTTGTGGTGAAAAGTGTTTAAGTACAGTATTTTAAAACATTGTACACAGCTACACTCCACCAGCGCACAAATTAAAAAAAAAAAAATAAGACAAATGGTGGACAGAAACAGAACTGAAGTGACAATTTAAAATCAAACATCCCTGATGAAAAACCTACAGTAGGAGTATGTTATCCCACTAATGTGTATTTTATATTTCTGGGCTGCACAGCTGCACGATGGACACATTCAAAGAACGTATACATGCTCCACTGAACACAACCCCCTAGGGTACATGCAAAGATGTCAATCAACAATGAACATTAACACTTCACAGGCGATTTGAAGGAAGCAGGAGTTTGAGCTTTCTGAATGCAGATTTGAGGGGATGCATCATATTTTGCGTGTGTGTGAGTGGTTTTTTTTTTTCCACTTTGTGTTATCATAACATACACTTAGCATTTCTGAAAAAAGAGCTCTGAAAGTGTCTCAGTGTTGGGTAAACCAGGGGAAGGGCTCACGGCTTGGCCCGGTCCCTCACAGGCTCTGTTTCGTAATCGTTCACGTGATATTTGATCCAGTGTTTGTACTCATCAGACTAATAGTCGACGTTCAGCACTTAGAGAGAAATTCTGAGAATTTTACAGCATCATGAGGTGGTATAATTTTATTTCTTAGTGCTGGGGAGAAATAGGACATCTTACTTGGAAAACAGAGGTTAACATAAGTTTTGTGCAAAGTGGTTGTGACATAGAGCATGACCTTAAAACTTCCATGCAAAGGAAGCATTTGAAACTTCAAACATGGGAGGAAGGTGGACTGTGTACACGATGATATATGACTGATTCAAATAACACTCAAAGATATGCAGTTTTGCATTGCTTCAGACCGTGTGTAGCTTATTGTCAGATTTTATTATTTATTGTTGTCAGATCAATCGTCAAGGACTTTCCAAGTTGCAGCAGAATCCAATTCAATTCAAGTTTTCAATTCAGGCTCATCTATATAGCACCAAATAACAACAGCAGTCTCCTGAGGGTGCTTTGTGTGACAAGGAATAACACAGAGAAAACCCCAACAAGTAAACGACCGCTTCTGAGCAAGCAACAGTGGGAAGTAAAAACTCCCTTTTAACAGGAAGAAGCCTCCAGCAGAGGGAGGGGCAGTCGTATGCTGTGACTGGTTAGGGGCGACGAGAGGAAGACAGAACAAAAAATACACTGTGGAAGAGCCAGAGATTATTAATAACTAATGATTACATACAGAATGGTGTATAAATACATAGAGAATGAAAAAGGTGATTGAAGAAGAAAGACGTCACCAGCAGCCTAGGCAGCGCAACTAAAGGAATAATAACGCAGAAGTGCCAAAAACTGCATTTCCTTTAGTAAGCTTGTTCCAATGGTGAGTGAATCCTTGCACACGGCCTTCATAACAACTCCAAGTGGGGTGATTATAAAAAATGTTATTAACTCTTCCATTTAAAAACTGGATCTCAGACATGGCCACTTTGACACCTGATCGATCAAATAGGCCTCATCTCTGCTATTTGGAGTCGCTAAACTGGACCTCTCTACTGTGTTTGTGCCTTTTTGAGAATTTTTAAAAATGTAATTATTTTACAGTTAAAATATCTTATTTTGTGATGCCGACAAAGGTCTGTGCTTCAGTTTTGGTGAGTGTCTGTTACTTAGCACTACTACTTAGCAAATATCTATGACAGTACATTACACTCATATAGTTTATATGTAGACCTCACTAACCAAGATTAACAGCACTAGCTTGTAACCTCAGCTTTTAATCCAAATATGGTCACTTCTAATAAAAAACAAGATGGTGGTGGCCAATACAAACCAGTCCCCCTTTTGCACATTCTTTATTAGTTACTCGTTTGTTACATGCACTCTGAAAGGGTAGTGTTGTCTGAAATAGAAGCGCTGCGCTGTGCACCATAAATAGCGTGCAATATCTGACTGCAATTGCTGTGCTAGCTACTGCATTTTGTGAACAGTTTACCACACATGTAACACATGCAATGTTTGCTCTCACCTGCATGATGAAAAAATCTGCTGCAGTTAGCTAGCTGCCACTGATTTCATCACCATTATCAGTGATAACTGAAATATTTGCTTGCCTCGATCTTTCAGCTATACAGCCAAAGTATTGACTGTTGAAGATGTGCAGTTCTCCACACTCAACTTTTTGATATTTGAGTACACCATTCAGATACTCATAGAACACTTAATGGTGATGTTGATGATGCAGTTTATTGTCAAATATGGAGGTTGTTCCACCCCTATCCCCAAAATGAGTATCAACAGCTAAACAGAGAAAGGGATGAGCTAACAGTATCTTTACACTGACTTTCACACAGGTTCACAAGAGTTTCAAGTGTGTGGTTGTAGGTATATCTACTTGTTAT